TTATCTTAATTTTTATGTTATGGTGTTTCCACTCTGAGAGCCTTAATTGTGCCTACGTTAAACACGAAAAACAGTAGTTTACTTGGGAGATCATTTTTTTCCTGATTTTGTTCTTTCAGCAAATATTTGTGGAGCCTAATACATTCTAGGCTCTGTTGGGTGTGATAGGGAAACAACAATAAAGAAAAGTTGTCTGACTCAAGGAGTTAATTATTCAGCCTAATGAATTGCCTATGACTGGAACAGTCACCCAGTTAATGTAGTTCATTCAGGAAGACATGGAATTAGGGGCCAGTAGTTTGTGCTCAGGCTGAAAGGGTGTAGCAGGTGGTTTATTACCCTGGGGCTGCTCTGAATGATGACCTGTCCTCCTTGCTACACGTTCTTCCTGACCAAGTCTATGTGTGTTGTCCTATGCTGATGGACCCAGAGAATGACCCAGAGTTAGTGGTCTCCAAAAGAGGTACATGCACACAGGGGTGTGTCAGGCAGTCAGTGGGGGCTTAGGCTAAAAATAACTTCTACTTCTACCCCTTTATCCTTTGAAAAAGGGAAAAAAACACACTCTATCATATATAATCTAGATTATGACTAGCACATTTCTTCTGGTTAGAGGATATGTATGGACCTTGAGACACCCTGAATGAAACGTAGGATTTCCACCCCACCTCATTCTTCAGCCATCAGCTTATTGTGACTTGTGGTTGTTTTCTACTCTTAAGTAGATTAGATAAAGAAAAAAACAGACTTTTTATGTATAAACAAGGGTAAGCAATTGTGTTAAAAGTGTGAGGACCACTGTCTCTTAAGCTGCAGCCTAGAGGCATGCTAGTCATTCCATCCATGACCCATTTCCATTTTCTTCTTGACAAAACAGCAAGCCTGGATCTTTGTGGCCATTATTAAGCAGTGGATGAAGTAAGCCTTTAGGCCATGCAGAATGGCTCCTCTGGTTATTTTTATCCTCTATCACCTTTGGAAAAATTGATTGGGAATAACACTGTGTTCTAGAAATTGTTTTGGTCTTTCCCTTACCATTAAGTGGTCTCTTAGGGCTGCTATGGACTGAATTGTACCCCTCCACTCATATGGTTTCAACAACTCTGAGAGCCTTAATTGTGCCTATGTTCCCAATGTAACTGTATCTGGTGAGTCTTTAGAAGGTTAAATCAGGTCACGAGGGTGGGGCCCTTATCCAACAGGACTGTGGCCTTAGAAGAGAAAGATCTCTCCCACTCCCTCTCTCTCTCTCTCTTCAACTGTCTGCAAGCCAGGAAGAGAGCCTTCACCAGAACCTGTCCATGCTGATACTGTGATCTCAGACTTCCAGACTCCAGAACTGTGAGCAGGTCAATTTCTGTTGTGTAAGCCACAGTCTGTGGTATTTTGTTATATCTGCCCAAGCTAATTAAGACAAAGGCTCATCCTTTGTAGTTAACTGTTGTGAAATCCTGATTATTAGTGCAGTAAAACAGAATGATCAAGAGCACAGACTGGGCTACACTCAGGTTCAAATCTCATGTGATTTTGGGCAAATTCCTTCATCTCCAGGACTCCATTTCCTCAATTACAAAGTAGGGATAATAGGGGCACCTGGGTGGCTCAGTCAGTTAGGCATCTGACTCTTGATTTCCGTTCAGGTCAAGATCTCAGAGTCAAGTGATCAAGCCCCATGTCAGGCTCCATGCTGGGTGTGGAACCTGCCCAAGATTCTCTCTCTCCTTCTGCCCCTCCTCCCCTTCCCATGCTCTCTCTTTCTCTCTCTCAAAAAATAAAAATGAAATAGGGATAACAATTCCTTAAAATTTGTTTGAGGTATGATCATACAGGGATACCATTTTGGTACCTGGCTTATAATATAGACCTTATATAATAACAGTGATGCTTTAATGATTTATTGATCTCATAAAATTGTGATGGTTTAGGTGGGTAGGAAAAATCTTATCCCTCCAATCTTTGCAAGTGGGGCGGAATAAGGTTATATTCAGCATTTCCCCATTTTTTCTCACTTTTAAACTTGTAATTAAGAATCTTCCTTTGTAGTTAAGCTCCTACTTGAATCAAATAAATGCACGTCTTCCCATTATAAAAAAATGTACAATCAGCATTTTTCTATATGCCAATCATACGGCTTAATCACAAGTTGTAGGTAACTTCAAAAGACAACAGAACTTGCATCTAGTTATTGCTAAATGGGCACAAACTACATTTTATAAAGATGTGTTTCAGTAGATGTCCTGTAATTTGTCATCATGTCTATAAAACCCCTACATAGTACATCATCTTGGTTGCATTTGTACATATCTTTTGTTGGATGGTGTATTTATTTGTGAGAGTTGCCATAACAAAATACCACCCACTGAGTGGTATAAGCAACAGCAGTTTCCTTTTTTTTTTTTTTTTCCCACAGTTCTGAAGGCCAGAAGTCCAAGATCAAGGTGTCATCAAGTTTGGCTTCTCCTGAGGCTTCTCTTTTTGGTTCACAGATGGCCACCTTTTTGCTATGTTCCCAACGTGTTTTCCTTCCGTGTGCACACATTTCTGGTGTCCCTTTGTGGGTCCAAATTCCCTTTTGCTATGAGGACAGCAGTCTGACTAACCCTAAGAACTTCAGTTTAAGTTCATCTTTTTAAAGATCCTATTTCCAAATACAGTCATATTTGAGGTACTGGGGGTTAACACTTCAACACAAGAAATTTGAGGGAGAAGGGGACACAATTCAGCCTGCATGTGGTAAACCAGGAAATTCTCCTCAAAACCGGGATTTCAGAGGTGCTTTATGGCAGGTGGGAGTTCTATACCTGCTTACAATTTTTTCAAGCTAAGATTATGTCCATGCTCTAAGACAAAGAAACTGAAATGTTCTGATTCCTCTTTGTGTTTCTGTAAGAGATAAACCAGAATTTCTCAAAAACTTTGGTTCTCCTGGAAATACTCCTTTGGATTTCTTGTTTGTGAGAGCATTTGACTGCATTCTTACCTATGTGACACTCCAATTTTTACAAAATGTCCTCAGTTATCCCTGGCTTGGCCCCTTATTTGACAGCTTCTCACCTAACTCTCAATGCAGACTGCTAGCTGCAGCACACAGTGCCAGTGGGGCATATACTTGCAACCCATGATGCCTTTTAAGATCTGTATCAGAAGATCCCATCACTAAGGCCTGCTGCCTCCTGGATATGCAGCCCATCCATTATTCCAGGTCGTGGGCCCCTGAAACTGAATGCAGAATTGTTCAGAACATTTGTTTCAAAGACAAAGATCCATAGTTTACATCTCATGCCAATTGGGTCTATGGCTTCAAGAAGGTAATGTGCTCTGAATGAGCTCAATTTCTCTCCTTGACTACCGCTGCACATGGTAGCACCGCACACAGGCAGCAACCATCAGCTGTGTTTAAGGGATGTTTGGTGAAGCAGCTCTGTGAATAAGCTTGTATTTAATGAAGAATATTCTCATCAATATTTCCTAACAGTATTCTCTCCTCTGGGTCCCACTGGAGGAGTTTCTCTCTTTCCAGGGCATTCTCCTGATGCTTATTGTACTCTGTTAGAAACTGAATCTTGTGGAAAAAAAATTTCTTCAAATAGCTGAAAAGTTTTTGACCAGACTTGTGGTGAACCACTCATGAAGGTAAAGGACTTCATAATATCAATTGTATGCACTTTAAAAATGCTTAATGCCATCTTATATTCCTTTCTGTCATATCGTTTTTCTTAGTTTATTTCATCTTGCTATATCATGTCTCCCTTTGTGAAGTGCTTTTCATCATAACTTCTGGGTAGGAATTTTTATCTTTTCCCAATTATGATGGATGTGTATATGGTCATGTGTGTGTGTGCAAGGAAAGAGTTAAATGCTCCCTCTTTCTTTCTAGTGAGATGGAGTTTTTATAACAATTTATATCCAGTATTGCCCTTCAAAGGAAGCAAATCCAATGGGGACCACTGAAAAGACTGCAGCTTCTCTGTGATTCTGAGGGCATAGTTTAAAGGTGGTGGTTCCAAAACCTCAGTCATTTCTAGGAACAGCAGTAAATTCTCTCTTGCCTTTTCTCCTTAAAGGACAACTACCCCTTAGGGGAAGCACCAGGTGCTGTGTAGGAAGGACGCAATCATGTACTGACATCTTCAGGAGAAGAAAAGCCAGCGATACCATCTTAGACCCTTAACTCGGAACACGCGTGCTAAATGTAAGCCCCTGCGGAAAGCTGAGAACCCACTCAAGGTATCCAGACCACCCCTGAAAGGACGTGGGTTGGGGGTGGCTCGAGGAATGTTTCCAGGAGAGTTCATTGGTAAACTTGATCCACTCGGGAAGCACATTTCAGGAAGCAAGGCCAGTACCGGGGACAGCACCAAGACCCGCGCCCAGGTGGGGAGAGGCAGCAGCACCATGGACAGCACCAACGCCAGCGCCCGGGGCGGAGAGGCGGGGAGAGGCGACCTCATCAGCTGATGCCTTACGTAGGCTGGATCCCCACTTTGAGAAGGCAGGTCTGGATGGGCGCGCCGGCGTTTGCGCTCCAAAGCCGCGGCCCCAGACGGGGTGGGGCTGGGCCTGGGGGGATAGCAGAAGGCAGATCCCAGAAAACAGGTCCCCGCTTGGCTTCCCTGGCACGGAGTTAAGGCTGCAGCCTGCTGCTTGGAGAGAAGGGCGGGTAGCGAGGCGACGCGCGCAGCGAGAGTACTGCTCTGACGCACCAGCACCCCCTCCGGCACCCACACGCTCCAGGGTCGCCCAGCTGCCCCCCGACTTGGGAGATGCTCAGCTCTGGGTGACCAGACAGCTGTCTCTGCCGAGGTGAAAAGCCTGGGCATGTGACAGCTTAGGAGGGCCCTGGCTGTGAGACGCAGCCCAGCACCCTCCTCTCTGCCACACCATCTCCACGTATGCTCACTGGCAGGAGGTTGGGGCCAGTATCATAGACAATCCCCAGAAACCCCGCCGCCAGCCTGAGGTTGCAAACATCCAGAGTGGCTCTGCGCGCAGTGGCCACCGTCCGTCTTCCTGAACGCCCCTTCTACACTCACTCTGGGCCGGTCTCCTGACCCAACGATGGATTCGCCTCTGAACCTAACCTACTTTTCCCTCTCCACCCCCGCCCCTTTGGAGACCAACCGCAGCAGCCTTGACTCCGAAGACCCGCGCCCCAGCCCGCCCCTCCTCTCTGTCTTCGGTGTGCTTGTTCTGACCTTGCTGGGCTTTCTGGTGGCTGCGACGTTCTCCTGGAACCTCCTGGTGCTGGCGACCATTCTCCGCGTGCGCACCTTCCATCGAGTTCCGCACAACTTAGTGGCGTCCATGGCCATCTCGGATGTGCTCGTGGCGGCTCTGGTCATGCCACTGAGCCTGGTGCATGAGCTGTCCGGCCGCCGTTGGCAGCTGGGCCGACGGCTCTGCCAGCTGTGGATCGCGTGCGATGTGCTCTGCTGTACGGCCAGCATCTGGAATGTGACGGCCATCGCGCTGGACCGCTACTGGTCCATCACCCGCCATCTGGAATACACACTCCGCGCCCGCAAGCGCGTCTCCAACTTAATGATAGTGCTCACCTGGGTGCTCTCCGCGGTGATCTCCCTGGCACCGCTGCTCTTCGGCTGGGGGGAGACCTACTCTGAGGGCAGCGAGGAGTGCCAGGTGAGCCGCGAGCCCTCCTATACCGTGTTCTCCACCGTGGGCGCCTTCTACCTGCCGCTCTGCGTGGTGCTCTTCGTGTACTGGAAGATCTACAAGGCCGCCAAGTTCCGCGTGGGCTCCAGGAAGACCAACAGCGTCTCACCCTTATCGGAGGCCGTGGAGGTGGGTGTTCTAGAGATCCTTGTAAACACTTCACTTGCATTCGTTGAGGCTTTATCTCCGGCACGCTGACTCCAAAGTTTGTAGAAAGTGATTTTAGTTTTCTTTGGGGGGGGAGGGGAGGGGAGAAAGGGGAAGGGATAGACTGGGGGAAAACAACAGAGACTAACTCTGTGTCAACATGCTTAGCATCACAGAGCTTAATAATGGCCTTTACCATCTCTGATGGATTATTTCCATATATAAAATGAGGGGTTTGGACTACATACTTCCACAGGGTCCCATTTGGTTCTAAAATTCTGTGACTCTATAACACCCTTTAGAAGGTCTGAAGAAGTCAGTGTCTGGGGCCACTGGATAAACTTGCAACTTGCTGCACCTAGAGTGGGGTGATCAAGGAGGAGGGAAGGGACAGATGGTAACGTGACTTGGCAGAAAGATTGCTCAACATCAGGCAAAGCAGATTAATGTTTTAGCCCAGTCTGTTTTTTTCTTTGCAAATTAAAGCAACGAATTTTGCAAAAACATAGTATCTCCTGGATTACTACCTGCTGTTCTGCAGCATCCTCCTCCCCTGATGCAAGATTATCAAGATGTTTACCTCTTTCAGAGCCTGCTTTTGTTATCTACTTCCCCGGCCTGTGGAGCTGCTCTCTGGGTCTGTCCCCAGCCCCATCGGGCCTTTTGTATGCAGGAGAGGATCATTTGTTTGCCTTCCCAAACAAGCTACAGGAGGAAATTAGAAATCTAAGGCAGACAATTCCCCAGCTCTTTACAAGTGGCATTTTCTGTGGGGCTCTTTTGTTGTCCTCTCTCCACCACGCTTTCCTGTTTTGTTGTTAACTCTTAGTGATCCAACCCTATGACCGCAGATCCAGGAAATATACGACAACCGAATCCGATAGATATGGAAATTGCTCCCCCCTGAACAACTCTCATTGCCAAGGTGATCCCTTGAGCCTAATTCATACATTTAAGTTAGGTCAGAAATCTACGCAGCCCCATTTTCTGTTATTGGCTCTGGGGCAACATACATTCCATTAAGCACATTAACCACACACTATGTATGGGCTTGGTGCAAGGAGTAAAGAATGATAAAGACATCACCTTTCCCATGAAGAGCTCCCTCTAGTGAGGGAGATAGACACCTACTGTGAGTGCCGTAATTCGGTTGTGTTTTCCAGATCAGTAGCTAATTCCAACAATAACCAGTGAATCAAGCTCAGAGGGACCAGAGGTGTAGGTAAGGGAGGAGAGAGTGCATCATTCTAGAAGAAGGAAAAGGGGGTCAGAGGCTCCCTGTCCTTTTATCTAGAACAGTGGCCTCAACCAGGGGTGATTTGTCCCCTCCAGGGACCATTTGGAATGTCTGGGGACATTATTAGTAAAATTTGGGAGAGAGTACTAATGACATCTAGCATGTAGAGGCCAGGGACGCTGCTCAACACTGTGTAGTGCACTGGACAGCCCCCACAACAAAAAAATTATTCAGAGCAAAATGGCAATAGTGCCAGATTTGGGAAAACCTGATCTACTAGATTTCTGAACTGAACAAGGAGTGCTGATGGCTAAGAGCACTTGCAGCACCAAACTGCCTGGAGCTTCCACATGTGTGAGAATCCACCCCAGCTCTGGGCCAGGAACAAGAGCACCCGCCACCTTCAATGGCCCTCCTTATGGGGACCCTCTTCTGCCAGGATGCTTATCCAGGTAAATGGTTTACAATCAATACCAGATACGGCTTGAAAAGGAAAAGCAGTCACAGTTTTTTCTTGTGGAACTTACTGCAAAGTGATGCAGGCTTTCACTGCTCTGCTCTGGAGACAGAATTAGCAAGCATTTTGACATTGTTCTGCTTTTATACATTTTTTTTTTGCACTGTTTCATTTTCTCTGTCTCTCTCTCTCTCTCCCTCTGCCACATAACTTAAGAAAATGGGTCCCTTGGCTTTGCAAGATGTCCAAATGATCCAGGGCTCCACTGTTACTGTGAAGGGTGAATTACAAACCAGGTCTCCTGATTTTTCCCTGGTAGCAGGTGCCGAAGTTTCTAAATACAGTTCTCCCACCACCTAGCTGTGTTACCTAGGGAAACATAACACTTCTTCCTTGCTTCTTTGTCTGTTGCGTTTTCTTCAAATACATACTGAGAGCTTAACCTCTGTCAGACACTGAGATGGGAGCTGGCAACACAAGAGATGGGCCTTGCTCTTAGCAAAGGATGATGAAACCACTACTAAAGATCTGGCATAAAAAGATAATGCTGAATTTATTGCTTACTAGTCTGCAGCAGAGCTGTGCTGGCCAGGCACAATCTCTCTGAGCAGAGAACAATGCTAATCTTAAATGGCATTTTTGGGAAGCATGGAGATCAGACACGGGGGACTTTGAGAGGGGGCGGTGGGTTGACATATGTATGAGTCTTTTTTTGTCTTTATTTTTTATTTTATTTAAATTCAATTAATTAACATACACTGTATTATTAGATTCAGAGGTAGAATTTAGTGATTCATCAGTTGCATATATCACCCAGTGCTCATCACATCACGCGACCTCCTTAATGACCATCCCCCAGTTACCCCATCCCCCACCCACCTCCCCTCCAACAACCCTCAGTTTGTTCCCTAGAGTTAAGAGTCTCTTATGGATTGTCTCCCTCTCTGATTTCATCTTATTTTATCTTTCCCTCCCTTCCCCTATGATCCTGTTTTATTTCTTAAATTCCACATATGAGTGAAATCATATGATAATTGTCTTTCTCTGATTGACTTCTTTTGCTTAGCATAATACCCTCTAGTTCCATCCACGTCATTGCAAATGGTAAGATTTCATTTTCTGATGGCTGAGCAATATTGCACTGTTTATATACACCATTCTTCTTTATCCATTCATCTGTTGATGGACATCTGGGCTCTTTCCATAGTTCGACTATTATGGACATTGCTGCTATAAACATCGGGGTGCAGGTGTCCCTTTGAATTACTACATTTGTATCCTTTGGGTAAATACCTAATAGTGCAATTGCTGCATTGTAGGGTAGCTCTATTTTTAACTTTTTGAGGAACCTCTATGCTGTTTTCCAGAGTGGCTGCACCAGTTAGCATTTCCATCAATAGTGTAAGAGGGTTCCCCTTTCTCTGCATCCTCGCCAACATCTGTCATTTCCTGACTCGTTAATTTTAGCCATTCTGACTGGTATAAGGTAGTATCTCATGGTAGTTTTGATTTGTATTTCCCTGATGCTGAGTGATGTTGAGCATTTTTTCATGTGTCTGTTGGCCATTTGTATGTCTTCTTTGGAGCGATGTCTATCCATGTCTTCTGCCCATTTCTTGGCTGGATTTTTTGTTTATGGGGTATTGAGTTCTTTATAGATTTTAGATACTAGCTTTTTATCTGATAAGACATTTGCAAATATTTTCTCCCATTTTATAGGTTGTCTTTTAGTTTTGTCAATTTGTTTCCTTTGTTGTGCAAAGCTTCTTATCTTGATGAAGTCCCAATAGTTCATTTTTGCTTTTGTTTCTCTTGTCTTTGGCGACGTGTCTAGCAAGACATTGCTGTGGCTGAGGTTGAAGAGGTTGCTCCTTCCGTTCTTCTCTAGGATTTTGATGGATTCCTGTCTCACATTTGGGTCTTTCATCCATTTTGAGTTAATTTCCGTGTATGGTGTAAGAAAATGGTCCAGTTTTCATCCTTCTGCACGTGTCCGTCCAAAATTCCTAACATCATTTGTCGAAGAGACTGTCTTTTTTCCATTGGATATTCTTTCCTGCTTTGTTGAAACTTAGTTGATCATACAGTTGTGGGTCCATTCCTGGGTTTTCTATTCTGTTCCATTGATCTATGTGTCTGTTTTTGTGCCAGTACCATACTGTCTTGATGATTACAGCTTTGTAATAGAGCTTGAAGTCCAGAATTGTGATGCCTCCAGTTTTGGTTTTCTGTTAAAACATTCCTTTTTCTATTCAGGGTCTTCTGATTCCATACAAATTTTAGAATTATTTATTCCAGCTTTGTGAATTTTGATAGGGATTGCATTGAATGTATAGATTGCTCTGGGTAGCATAGACATTTTAACAATATATTTTTTTTTTAATCCATGAGCATGGAATGTTTTTCCATTTCTTCATGTCATCTTAGATTTCTTTCATCAGTGTTTTCTAGTTTTCAGAGTACAGATCCTTTGCCTCTTTGGTTGGGTTTATTCCTAGGTATCTTATGGTTTTTGGTGCAATTGTAAATGGGATCAATTCCTTAATTTCTCTTTCTTCTGTCTCAGTGTATAGAAATGCAACTGGTTTCTGTGCATTGATTTTATATCCTGCAACTTTGCTGAATTCCTGTATGAGTTCTAGCAATTTTTGGGTGGAGTCTTTTGGGTTTTCCACATAGAGTATTATGTCATCTGTGAAGAGTGAAAGTTTGAGTTCTTCTTTGCTGATTTGGATGCCTTTTATTTCTTTTTGTTGTCCGAGGCTAGGACTTCCAATACTGTGTTGAACAGCAGTGGTGAGAGTGGACATCCCTTCATGTTCCTGACCTTAGCGGAAAAGCTCTCAGTTTTTCCCCATTGAGAATGATATTCTCTGTGGGTTTTTTGTATATGGCTTTTATGATATTGAGGTGTGTTCCCTCTATCCCTACACTGCAGAGAGTTTTAATCAAGAAAGGATGCTGTATTTTGTCAAATGCTTTTTCTGCATCTATTGAGAGGATCATATGGTTCTTATCCCTTCTTTTATTAATGTGGTGTATCACGTTTATTGATTTGCAGATGTTGAACCACCCCTGCATCCCAGGAATAAATCCCACTTGGTCATGGTGAATAATACTTTTAATGTACTGTTGGATCTTATTAGCTAGTATCTTGGTGAGAATTTTTGCATCTGTGTTCATGAGGGATATTGGTCTTTAATTCTCCTTTTTGGTGGGGTCTTTGTCTGGTTTTGGGATCAAGGTAATGCTGGCCTCACAGAATAAGTTTGGAAGTTTTCCTTCCAC